TTCAAAAACCCCCCCCCCCCCTTTGAAGAAATTAAAAGCAGCACTCAACGTTTTTTATTGTTACAAAATATTTCTATTTCAAATGAATGCTGTTCTGTTAAACTTTCTCCTCAAAAAGGCCTGAAAAAATGTATCATGGTTTCCACAAAAATATGAAGCAGCACTACTGTTTTCAACAATGATAATAACGATAAGAAATGTTTCCTGAGCAGCAAATCAGCATATTAGAATGATTTCTGAAGGATCATGTGACACTGAAGACTGGAGTAATGATGCTGAAAATTCAGCTTCAAAATTCAATTGCATTTGAAAATATATTCAAATAGAAGTGTTGTTTTAAATTGTAACACTTCACAATATTTACTGTATGTTTTAACAAATGAAATGCAGCCTTAGTGAGCCTTCCTTCAAAAACATTGAAATATCTTACTAACTCCACACTTTTGAATGGAGGTGTGCATGCCTTATGACACAATTGATTTCAGAATAATGGGGCAGATGCATATGATACAGTTTGGCCCTGTTCGTTACATCAGTTGTGTTTGGGCTAAAAAAAACAAAACAAAAAAAAATTGTAGATTTTATGCTCCAATATCACTTTCAATTCTTTGTTTACAGGAGGTCTTCACTGAAATGGAAGAGAAATATGGAGAGGTTGAGGAGATGAATGTGTGTGATAATTTAGGAGATCACTTGGTGGGAAATGTCTATGTGAAGGTGAGAGAATTTGCAGTGTGTTTACGTTTTAGTAATTTATCTTAATTTACTGCTTAAAACTGATTGTTATTGTTGAACTTGTAATAAAGTTAGAATTTCAAACTCGGAATTTAAAGGTACAATAGGAGATCTTGGAAAATGCTAACTTTAGCCTGATAGCACTGAAAGCGAACGTCCCACCCTTCCTGCAATCGCCGTCCAAAGCCACACCCCCTGAACGCATTTACACTCACAGACCAGAGACAACATTACTACAATAGGCTACATCAGGTTCCCAATTCCAGCCCATGTTCCGAAGTGAAGTAAACTTCAACGGATTTCCCCTGCTCAGGGAGTAGGGAGCAATGAACTCTGTGTAGGGATCATATCGATCGGAACAATGATTTCTGAAGGATCATGTGACACTGAAGACTGGAGTAATGATGCTGAAAATTCAGCTTCAAAATTCAATTGCATTTGAAAATATATTCAAATAGAAGTGTTGTTTTAAATTGTAACACTTCACAATATTTACTGTATGTTTTAACAAATGAAATGCAGCCTTAGTGAGCCTTCCTTCAAAAACATTGAAATATCTTACTAACTCCACACTTTTGAATGGAGGTGTGCATGCCTTATGACACAATTGATTTCAGAATAATGGGGCAGATGCATATGATACAGTTTGGCCCTGTTCGTTACATCAGTTGTGTTTGGGCTAAAAAAAACAAAACAAAAAAAAATTGTAGATTTTATGCTCCAATATCACTTTCAATTCTTTGTTTACAGGAGGTCTTCACTGAAATGGAAGAGAAATATGGAGAGGTTGAGGAGATGAATGTGTGTGATAATTTAGGAGATCACTTGGTGGGAAATGTCTATGTGAAGGTGAGAGAATTTGCAGTGTGTTTACGTTTTAGTAATTTATCTTAATTTACTGCTTAAAACTGATTGTTATTGTTGAACTTGTAATAAAGTTAGAATTTCAAACTCGGAATTTAAAGGTACAATAGGAGATCTTGGAAAATGCTAACTTTAGCCTGATAGCACTGAAAGCTGTCATCTTATTGCTAGCGTTACCAAGATGATACCCAGATGATATTTTCATTATTATGAAAATGAATTTGTATTTTTGCATTTGTGTATGTAGTTCCGCCGTGAGGAAGATGCAGAGAAAGCGGTGATTAACTTGAATAACCGCTGGTTTAATGGCCAGCCCATCCATGCTGAGCTCTCGCCTGTCACTGATTTCAGAGAGGCCTGTTGTCGGCAGTATGAAATGGGGTAAGGGACTGAATAATCAGAGCATCAGATGGCGCTTTTCCACTGCATGGTACGGCTCGGTACGGTTCACTTTTGGGGGGGTTTCCACTGGTTACAGTACCTGGTACTTTTTTTAGTACCACCTCGGTTGAGGGTCCAAGCGAACCGTACCGTTACCAAAAAGGAAGTACAGACGTTCCTCTCGTTGATAGCAGAGGAGCGGATCCAGCGAGAGCTTGATGGGGCAACGCAGAAAGAAAACGTTTTTCAGGAGTCGCGGCAGTAGAGGCGGCGCAACTAACGACATGTGAATAATCCCGCCCACTCTAAAGCGATATTAAACTGCAGTGGAAACGCAAACCGAGCCGTGTCACGCAGTGGAAAAGCGCCAAGAGAGTGCTGCACATCTTCCCTTCTACAGGAACGCACAACAACGCCGTGCACTCTAATGCTGCATTCCCACAGATAAATGTTTCCTTCCCTCCCCTCTTCAAATTGTTGTTTACTGATACCTGGTGCCTAAACCTGAGTCAACTGTTCAACTGTCCCATTGCACAGGATTTGTTGATTCAGGTGAAGGTGTTTTCTTAAACTGCTTCCACTGGCTTCACTGTGACTGATTGCAGTACTTGTGTGATCCTGCAGAGAGTGCACTCGAGGAGGCTTCTGCAACTTCATGCACCTGAAGCCAATCTCAAGGGAACTCCGAAGAGAACTGTATGGCCGCAGGAGGAAGAGGTCTGTGATTTAAAACTCCTCAAAAGAATAAAGATTGATACAGAACACTTGAGCAGATCTTGTAATTCTCACATCGCTGTCACTAGGCCTCTATAAGATCTTGCTTATTATTATTATTATCTGTTATAAAGATAAGAGATCCTTATTATAACAGCATACTAAATTTGTGCAAATGGTTAACCTTACACAAATTTTTGCAGTTTCTTTTGTGAAACAAGTGACAGCATCATTTATATACACTACCCATCAAAGGTTTGGGGTTGGTAAGATTTATTGTAAATGTTTTATGCTAAAATATCTTCTGCTCACCAAGCCTGCATTTAAAAATAAAATAAAAAGTACAATTAAATTAAATAAGTGAATGTGAAATATTATAATGATCTATTTTCTATTTGACTATATTTTAAAATGTAGTTTATTCCTGTGATGCAAAGCTAAATTTTCAGCATCATTACTCCAGTCTTCAGTGTCACATGATCCTTCAGAAATCATTCTAATATGCTGATTTACTGCTCAAGAAACATTTCTTATTATTATCTCTTAATATTTTGTGGAAACTTTGACGCTTGTTTGTTCAAGATTCTTTGATGAATAGAAAGTGCAGATGAACTGAATTTATTTGAAACATAAATGTCCTTGTTGTCGCTTTTGATCAATTTACTTTTTTTAGCTTAGTTTTTTTAGATCAAAAAAACTAAGCTTACTCACTCCAAACTTTTCAAAGGTACTGTATAATGGACTGGTTTTGGACTCGTTAGTAAATTTATTCTCTCTCCTACGCAGGCATCGCTCCCGTTCACGTTCCCGTGAACGCCGCTCTCGCTCTAGAGACGATGAATAATTTTTTTCCTTAAAAAAAAAACTAAGCTTACTCACTCCAAACTTTTCAAAGGTACTGTATAATGGACTGGTTTTGGACTCGTTAGTAAATTTATTCTCTCTCCTACGCAGGCATCGCTCCCGTTCACGTTCCCGTGAACGCCGCTCTCGCTCTAGAGACCGCAATAGAGGAGGTGGAAGAGACAGAGAGAGACGGAGGTCAAGAGATAGAGAACGCTCTGGACGCTTTTAAATTGTCCTTCTTTCTTGAAACCAACATTCAAACCCCAAGTCCTGCCCTTGTCTCTCCTGATGAAATGTGATAAATGTTCAATTTATTTCCTCCCTGACTTCTTTGTCCTCTGACCTTTTTATGCGAGATTTGTTTGCTTTTCAATAAAGATACCTTAATCCATTTACTGCCTTTCAGTAGTTACATTATTCTCATATTCTATTATATGCTGTTCTTTTACATGGTTTCCACATGTATCTTCTAACAATGAAAGCAGTGTTTAGTAATCAAGTTTCTGGATTTTCTGACCTAGTGATTTAATGTTTCATACTGGATCATACTGTTCTCAAATTCGCTGTAATCCCTATAGGTGACTAAACATTTTGCTAAAGCTATTTTAAATTGTAGGGAAGGGCAATATCCACCTAAAATATCAGGTCATACAACAAATGGCCTGGTTAATTAAGGACCGTTTGTAACAGAACTGTGTTTTGTTGATTATACCCAATAACTAACATGTCAGTGATTTGGTAACTTAGTCCTACAAAGAGATAAATGTTTTAAGCTCATTTAAGGACTATTTGTTAAGTACTAGGCTTTTTAAATGTAATCTTTCTCAGCAGGTGTAATAAAACACCTATTTTATTACAAAGCACGGTGGAATACTTGATTCCGATTAGCCAGTCACGAAATCGAGCAATAAACATCTTTGAATCATGACACTAAACTATATTTGATGGTTTCCATTCAACGCATCAGTTCCACTTATTCTATCACGCACCCGTTTTCATAACTTAGGATTTAAACAATCTCACGACTCAAAACGATTATTTCTATCTTGGTCAACGAACATTAGCATATTATGTAAACTTTAACTGATAGAAATAAGTACAACTAAAAAGTAATCTAAGATGTGCACTAAAATGTATCTGAAATACGCGTATCTTTTATTCATTGCCTTGTAATAACGACAAACTATTGCTATTTATATATTACCGGTATTGTTGAAATGATCTTATCTGTAAGTCTAATTTAATTGCTGTCTTATGAACAAGTTAACGCCGCCGCCTACAATTTGTTTCTCATCCAACTCCGTCTCCGACCAGTTTGTTCTTGCGAGCGTTGTTTTCGATTTCTTTTACAGAGGACTCCTGAGCTTCTAGCAAATCATCAAAGGTTTTATGCTCACCATAAAATTAATACTGTGTTCCGAAGCTATATTTATCACAATCATAAGCGGTCTAGTGCCCCGGGCCCCGAGTGATCCACTCCAGTCCCTAGCGCTCGTAGCCAGTGTTGCCAACAAATTTTCAGGGGAAGTTGCTAAAGGAAGGTTGATTTGTTGCTAAAAGTTGCTAAATGATGTTGTGATGTCATTGCGGGATGACGTCATTACGTAATCAGGATGCAAAATTGTGTCAAATCTCAGCAAAAATATATATATTTTATATATGTTAATTTAGATTTGTTCGTAACAATATAAATGCATAATATTTAGCAACAAAATTGCTAAATTGGCAACACTGCTCGTAGCATAGCAGAACAGCGTTTTCTGTGGACGAGGGCACGACTAAAAGTCGACATTCTATTGGTTAAGAGAACAGAACAGACGCCCCCGCCGTAGCCAATCAGCCCTCGAGCCCAACAAGGTATGCTGACACCTGATTGGACGCCAGCGTGACTCTTTGACGCCGGCGTGACTCTTTAACGCATGCGAGCAGCTGGCAAGCCGACTTCTTTTCACATACGGATAGGTCATCTGAGTAATCGGACCTCACCAGCTCCTTAGTTCCTCTGTATCTGATAGTCAGGTGAGTAAAAACTGTCCTTCGTATTTTAATCGCGAAACCCTTTTATTAATAACAACAAAGACACGATAAGAGCATGAATCTGCCACACTAATACACCCTGATGTTTGTAGATGAGGAACACATCTTAATCGCTTGTATTTCGCCAGAGAGTTTCATACATACATTTTATTATATTTTTTTACGTCTGTCCTCCTAAGTGATGGGAATGCGGCGCGAGCATGATGAAATCGACCCCTGCGTCACAGCATCACGATCAGCGCGAGCACAAAGAAGGCGATAGCCACGCGATTGCGTCATTTTACCTTACTTGTGTCCTTTCGCTAATATGACGCTCTTACATGTTATACAGTCCATACCTACATACACCTACTGTGGAGAATTATTTTGAGTCATTTATTTATTTATTAACCATTATCATTTCTCTTCTATTTAAGCCGGGTGACTGGCTTTTAAAGCCCATAAAAACTGTCCTTGCTTTTTCTGAAATGTCTGGCATTATAAACGTCGCCGGCTGTTGAAGAGTATATAAATGTAGGAAGAAAACTACGTTTAGAATGCTCGGTATGACTTAAGTCGCAGAGATTTCTCGAGGCAGCCTATAACCCGCATTTTTTTATTTACAATTTTTAGTCATAAATTTTCCTCAGTTTGAGAATATTTTGTGAAGCTTTCCGCTTCTGAGATACAGTTTCAGTGTTGTTGTGTACGGTATCATGAGTCGTGACTAAACCGGGTTTGAAAGAGTGAATCCCTCTGTACAGACTAACAATCTTTGCATCATCTCAGTTGTCTGGAAAGTCACTCCTCTTCTCTGAAGGTTGTGAGTGGAAAGCAGAAGTTTCTTATTCCACTTTGTCTGGTATTGCTAAAGTTTTTTTTTTCCCCGATGTATGGATGACTCTGCTGTGATTATGTTACTAATGATGCTGAGAGCAGAAGGGATGTTTTGCTAATCTAGGAACTTTTTTTCTTCATGTTTAACGTGTAGTTAGTGGTAAAAGCTACAATCAAAACATCCCAGATGTCAGTGAAATGAAGCAAAATGCTTGGATTTTTTTTTATTCCTCTTCGAAAAATGCTCCATCCTAAAGTTTACTTTTGGCTGAAAGGCTTTGTTGGTGTTGTTTTTCAGTTTACTGTTCATTGCATTATTAGAGTCACTTCCTGGCAAATTTACAAGCGCATGAGGTATGAACATGAACAAGTACAACCGTTCTGTTCTGAGCAAGACCTACCATCTCCGAAAACACCTTCTGCTGGATCCGAAAGAAAAGTCATTGGCAGACACTGTTCCAGTTCACCTGGATCCCAATGGATCTCCTCCACCCAGGTTTCGATAGTAGTTTTTTAATTAGTTATTTATTTTTTGTTATTATTAGGGATCAACTTTTGCTTATTCATGCTTTCACCTGAATGAAGTTGGGTTCATGACAAGAGCGCTTGTTTTATCTTCGTGTTTGAGATTGGAGAGCTTTATGGGTCTAATCTAATTGTTCTTATCTAATGATGTTATCAAGAAGTGAATGGTTTTGCACACATTCTGAATGATTCAGTTTTGTTTTCTTCCTCTCACTATGTTTGACAAAGCACACAAAACAGTGTTATCATGCATTAAGATTGTATTTTGATGTCTATGTTTGCCAAAAACTTTGTTTACCTTAAAAAAAAAAAAAAAGGAATGCACTAGCAATATTATCTTTTAGGTACTACTTTAAATGGGAGTTTGGCTTCCTGTAAGGCATGTTGTGATCCGTCAGTGTTGCATAAGAACATGAGAACAGTATTTAAACATAATCGAGTGAAAATCAGAATAAGCTTCTAGAGCGATACGCCCACATTTATGATGGAGGGGTTGCATCATTCTTCCTAACAATGTTTATAACAGTTTACTGGGTGATCGCAGTACTATACAAAGAAAAACCTGGTGAATGACACTTAAAATGTTTCCTCTCACAGGTAAACCATGCCATCAGTACCATCTAGTTCAGAGTCAGTTGGGACTGGCCCCATCTGCACACACGCTGCCAAAGTCCTCACAAATGCTGCAAATGGAGAACCTGGCATCAACGGAGATGCTGTTTTGAACGGAAAGGCTGCACACAAGTTAAGTGTGAATGGCACAGACCATGTGAATGAAACAAACGGTCACCATGTGAAGAGTGTGAATGTAGAGCACATTGAGAACGGATCAGAAGGCAGCATGGAGAGGAAATGGATTCGACCAGATTTGCCCAGCAGATGCACCTGGAAACTTGGTGACCCAAATACAGAGTCGCCCCACAAGCACTTCCAACGGTAAGATATCGAAACACTTTCCTCCGAATTCATATTTGTCAATGAAAAGGGTGTCAGTGAAAAGTCTAAATCTTTGATTATGCTAGACAGCATGCTTTTAATTCAGAAAAGGAAATGCAATGGATTCATTCAAAAGGGAAAACATGACAGAAACGATGCAATAAGTTACATTCCTACTTTTCTTTCTTTCACAAGTTTTTGCTTGAAATATTGGTAGATATTATTCAACAAGCTCTAACTCTGTTACAGACTTCTTACCATCTGTATTATTTAAATCTATGCTCCTGATATTATAATGTCAGATGTTTTTTTTTTTTTTTTTGAAAGGAGCTTTCATGACCTCGCAAGTAACTCCTGTTTAACAACCCTGTCCTTTCAGAAAGAAGCCTAGAAATGTAACCGTGAATTACCACACCCTTACCTTAACTCAGGAAGCAATGCCACAGTCTGCAGAGTCACTGTGATTCAGTTCATTCAGTTCCGTTGTGGTTTGTTGATGGTTGATGTTACTTTAATGTGTGTTTGTGGTTGTGTGTGCGCGCGTGTGTGTGTGTAACCACTTAATGTGCTCCCTTTTCTTACAGAACAAAGACACCCAGTATCATTCCAAACATTTTAAGCAGGATTGGAGAGACCCCACTGGTCCGCATGAACAAGATTCCTAAAGCTTTTGGCCTCAAGTGTGAGCTTTGTGAGTATCTGTACCATATAGATGTGGGGGATGTGTCTTCACACCTGGTTTCATGCAGCAATGTGGGTTTTTTTTTTCTGTCGTGTCCTGTGAGGACATGAAAATCACATGATCATTTAAGGACAGCCTGCGATGTGCATGTGTCGGCTAGGGCTGGACGATATGGCCAAAATTGATATCACGGTATATTTGGCACGTGTGTCTGTGTTGGGAAGTAAGGGGCTGTGTTCTGGAATGAGCAATGCAAGTGTTAGGTTTCCTCCTATGTTTACTGAAATTAGCTCAAAATATCAAACTTGTTTCATATCCGACTGGAAGGAATCAAAATCTGAAACTACACTTTGCTCATGCGCTATGCCATTTTCTGGAAAATTTGTCAACTCCGACTGCTCAAAATCTGCAGACTGGCTTTGACTTTAAGGAATTTTGATTCATAGATTCATCCTGCAAATCTGTGCAAAAGTCATGTTGTGTATGAAGCGTGACATGCTACTTTTGTTTTATTGGTGATTTACAATCTTGGTGCATATATCGCTGCCTACTGGGCTGCATTATTTTTTTTTTTAATCTGATCTGATTTTTCTCTAAGTGAACAGTATATTGTTTGTTTGATGCTAAATTGATAAAGAATGCCTGATAGAAGTAAAAAAAAAAAAAAAAGGTAAGATTTTGCAAAGATACCTAACATGACTGTAAGTATTTTTTGTTTGGCTATTTTGCTTCCACAATTGTCGTAAGGCAAGATGTGGCATGATTTATTTATTTAATGTCCCATTGCAAAAAAAATTGGATGCTGATCCACAATGTGTGAGATGATAAAATGTTGGTTTAAAAAATACCTTTGTTTTTATCATTCTTTGGAATGATACATTTTATAACTTTATAATATAATATTGTGCATAATCTGTGCTATCACATCCACTGGAGTCTCATCAATAGGGAATGTATGAGCAAATACCTGATGTTTATCAAAAGCAAACTAACCCTCAAAAATATTCTATGATCATGTCCTGCTCCAAAGCAGATCAAGTTGATATGGCTACTGTACTGAAATACTCTGAAGGTTTTTGGAAGCACAGTCGGAGGTAAACTTACCCGAGAACTCGCTTAACCTGACTTCTGTAATACCGCCAAGATCTCTTTAGAACAGCATTCCATTAGCTCCTAATTATCCGTATTAACCATATTCAAATTAAACAGATCTGCTGGAAAGTACAGTTCCCTTATTATATCAGATAAAATCAGAGGCCATTAAAATAACCCTGTAGGGAGGAATGCATTGGGTGTTGCAGTAGATGAGTACTTCACATGGTTGCATTGTGTGTTTTAGCTTTGGTTGGGGTTGGGGGGGTGGGGGTTGTATTGTGTCCGGGTGTACTCAAAGACCAAAACTGAAACTTCAACAAAACCACGCTCACAAAATGGCTGCAGTCTTTCATTTTGTCAAAGGTGAACGAGTTTGGCCACATGGGCCAAAAGTGTAGCAGGACTGTAGTTAAGCCCCTCTTTCTTTTAACAAGCGTTGTTTGAAAGTGTTATTGTGTGGCAGTCAAAGCCTTTTGAGTCAAAATGCTTTAATGAGCTTTATAATGGGGGTTCAATATGTCTAGCGATTTCATGTGAACAAGATTACCCTTCGACCTGTTCAGCCGATCAGCTTTGGCATTACACACGTGGAATTAGCTGACTAATTGCATCTGATTAGGCGTACATTTCACATATTTGCATGTGTGGCTGTGCCATTATGATGAAGTTGGGTGGTCTAGTTGTACAGTAAATAGCTTCCATGGATAGTTCACCCAAAAATGAAAATTATGTCATTAATTACTCACCCTAATGTCATTCCAAACCCGTAAGACCTTTGTTCATCTTTAGAACACAAATTAAGCTATTTTTTGATGAAATCCGAGAGCTTTCTGACCCGGCATAGACCGCAATGGAGCTACCACGTTCAAGGCCAAGAAATGTAGTAAGGACATCAACAAAATAGTCCATGTGACATCAGCCGTGTTGGGGAGAGTAACTAGTTACTTGTAACGGTGTTAATGTAATTTGATTACAAAATAAGGTTACTCTTTATTTTAAAGTGTCCTTGTTGGTGTAATTATACATTTAAATACCGAGTACTATTACTTAACTGTACTTACTATATGGTTAGAATTAGGGTTTGGCTTAGGGTTACTAGCATTTAATTATGCATAATGTATTGTTATTTTAGTAGTAAGTACATGTAACATGTGTAACACGGACACCTTAAAATAAAGTGTTACCCAAAATAAATGTAACTGTAATCTGTTACAGTTACTGAGAAAAAAATGTGTAAATAAATTACAGTTACTTATGAACCCTAATGTCATTCCAAACCCGTAAGACCTTTGTTCATCTTTAGAACACAAATTAAGCTATTTTTTGATGAAATCCGAGAGCTTTCTGACCCGGCATAGACCGCAATGGAGCTACCACGTTCAAGGCCAAGAAATGTAGTAAGGACATCAACAAAATAGTCCATGTGACATCAGCCGTGTTGGGGAGAGTAACTAGTTACTTGTAACGGTGTTAATGTAATTTGATTACAAAATAAGGTTACTCTTTATTTTAAAGTGTCCTTGTTGGTGTAATTATACATTTAAATACCGAGTACTATTACTTAACTGTACTTACTATATGGTTAGAATTAGGGTTTGGCTTAGGGTTACTAGCATTTAATTATGCATAATGTATTGTTATTTTAGTAGTAAGTACATGTAACATGTGTAACACGGACACCTTAAAATAAAGTGTTACCCAAAATAAATGTAACTGTAATCTGTTACAGTTACTGAGAAAAAAATGTGTAAATAAATTACAGTTACTTATGAAAGTGTTAACGATTACAAAGGGGGTTACATCTGAAAATTTATTTTATTAATTTGCTATTTCCCGTTATGATTTTAAATCCGTATTTAACCTTTGTGTGGCTATGGCTTATAATTACATTATTATAATCTTTAACTGTACCTGGTTTAAATGTTTGAAAATAATTAACAGTTGAAAACATTTTGTTAGAAATTTAGAATAGTAATCAAAAAGTAATCAAATATAATCTGTTACATTACTTTAATTGAAATAGTTACACTACTTTTTACATTTTAAATAGGGTAACTTGTAATCTGTAAACTATTACATTTTCAAAGTAACCTTCCCAACACTGGACATCAGTGGTTTAACCGTAATGTTATGAAGCTATGAGAATACTTTTTGTGCACTAAGAAAACAAAAATAATGACTTTATTCAACATTTTTTTTTTTCTCTTCCTTGACCAGTGTATTTATAATCTAAACAAGCAAGTTGATGATTTGTAATTGACAACATGCGCAAATGGAAAAGGTGGTTTAAGGTTTTTTTTCTTTTATTTATTTTTTGTCTTTCTATCTGTCTAGTGGCTAAATGTGAGTTCTTCAATGCCGGTGGCAGCGTGAAGGACAGAATCAGTCTGCGAATGGTAGAGGATGCTGAGAGAGACGGCATCCTGAAACCTGGAGACACCATCATTGAACCCACGTCAGGAAACACAGGTGTGTGTCTGCACCATTAGCCATTATAATGTTTATTCTTATTTTATTTATTTTGAAAGCAAGCACTGAATGTTTTTAACTGTGCCGTGTTGAGGAAGAACCTTTGCTCCATTTAGTTTAATTCAGGCACTGGAATGCTGGAGGACCAGTTTCATGTGCCAACTAGTCTGGCACCAAAATCAAAGAATGACTGTGTAAATACAGTCAGCTAAGTGTTATTCAACATCTAACACTTACTAATCAGTGAAGTGTAGATTATTGATATTAGAATGTGGTACAGACTGTGTGACTGTCATGTGTGTTTTCAGGGATCGGTCTTGCTTTGGCAGCAGCAGTCAAAGGTTATCGCTGCATCATTGTCATGCCTGAGAAGATGAGCATGGAAAAGGTGAGATAATAAAGATAAATATGGTGTGGAAGTAAATCCACCTGATATTTGTGGTGCGTATGAATGTGTATTTTCATAGTCATGTGTTTTGTGTCCTCACATGCTCCCAGGTGGACGTGCTCCGCGCTCTTGGTGCCGAGATTGTTCGTACCCCTACCTCAGCCCGGTTTGACTCTCCTGAGTCTCACGTGGGGGTGGCTTGGCGTTTGAAGAACGAGATTCCTAACGCTCATATTCTGGACCAGTACCGCAATCCCAGCAACCCCCTTGCCCACTATGACACCACTGCAGAGGAGATTCTGGAGCAGTGTGACGGTAAATTAAAACCTTTGTGGTTTTGTCAGAATTAAACATTCACCCCTCTCTTTTCAGTTACTTGGATGCTTTTTATGAAAAAGCTCATCAGTTGCTTCCAGCTGACCAGTGGTTCTCAACCGGGGGGGGGGTAAATCTTAAAATGATTTAAATTTAGTTAACAATAATTTATTTAAAATGCTGAAAAATAAAAATGTCCAACATTAAACTGCTACCATGTTTTTTTTTTTTAAAGCTTACAGGTTGAATAGGCATTTGAATATTGACCAAAAGGTCAAGAATAACTGCTTCTAAATATTGTTGGTGCCATTTTTTTTGTTCCTATCCTCTGTAGGTAAAATAGACATGCTGGTAGCCGGAGCTGGCACTGGTGGCACCATCACTGGCATCGCTCGCAAGCTGAAGGAGAAATGCCCTAATATCAAGGTGAGGCTCAGATCAGTACATAAATTCTGATACACCAGTCAATGAACTTGTTTTCTGTCTATCTGTCTGTTTGCTAATTATTTAAAGGGGTCCTATTATGCTTTTTCACTTTTTGAATTTTAGTCAGTGTGTAGTGTGTATGTTTGGGCATAAAAAATCTTCAAACTTACAAATCTCAAAGTCCACTTCAAAGGGAGATATTTCGCTTTTAAAAAATCCCTTTTCAAGAACTACAACGAACGGCTCGTTTGGACTACAGCGTTTGTTTTCCGGGTTTTGTGATATCACAAAGCGGTCCATTAGAATATCATTAAAATAATTCCCGCCTACGGAAATTCGAATGGTTGGGGGGTGGGGAGGGGCGAGGTCGTGGGTTGTGTGCATCAGACACGACGACGAAGAAGTGCTGCTGTAGCCTCAAGTTTTTGCAAGTTATTACACATGCACCTGAATAATTATGTAAATACAATTCATGTTATAATGTTAGAATTAAAGAACAATAAAAATAATATATATGCACTTATCTGTACATAGTTAATGCAGTTATTTTTAAGTGGTTGTTGACAACCGATCTAAAACGTGATTTAGAAAAAAACAAAAAAAACAACTAACGTTACCACTCTAATATGTCTTGCAATATCCGTGCGTGCAAAGGTTCTGCGATCCTCTTGTTCAGTATTCTCTGGGTCTGAATCCAGCTCAAATTGATATGGCAATATTGACGCCATCCTTAACTATACCGGAGCAGACGGAACTTGCTCCTTTGGCAAGGGGCGGGGCAGTGCTGAAACACCGTCTAAGCTGTTCGCCAATCACAACGCACTGGGACAGCTAACTAATCACATCACATTTCGTTTTTCGGAAGGTGGGCCTTAATCAAACCCGGAAGTTCCGTTTGTGCCAGACTGGGGAGAAAGGTTTTGTAATAATGTAAATTATGTAAAAAAATAATGTGTTTTTCGAACCACCAAGCATGAGAGCATGTTCTAGAACACCCCCAAAACAAATTCAAGACATTGTCATTTTCATTTAATCTTGCATGTAATGTCTTATAAAGTAGTGTATTTTTGAGCGGAGCGGCTGCTTTGTGTACAGCCATTACCGGGGAAACATTGATCTCTATCACTCCAACAGCGCCTCCAGCTGGCAGAGAATGAGTTTGCATATATATGCCGCCTGGGAAACACTGTTATACAGTTGAATTTTTTATACTATAGTCCAGTTTCACTGCAATTCATGTTATAATGTTAGAATTAAAGAACAATAAAAATAATATATATGCACTGTTTGGCATAATCTTTTATTGCTATTTCTTATGAGTAACTACTTCAAGTCTTGAAAGTGTTGTTGTTGAAAGTTTTGTTGTAGGTCATTTTGAATTCTGAATAATTACTATGTTGGAGACGTTAAATTTATTTTTAAAAATTTTTACACCGCATGTTACAATTTTTTCTTTTTCTTTTTTACATCATTGTTCTCACATCAGATAGTTGGAGTGGATCCTGAGGGCTCTATCCTTGCTGAGCCAGAGGAGCTGAATAAGACTGATAAGACTCAATATGAGGTTGAGGGCATCGGATATGACTTCATCCCCACTGTTCTGGACAGATCTGTAAGTTTGCATTTGCGCAGAAGGCTTTTATGCAGTTAAAATGAGTGTTTTATGTTGACTAATGGCAATTGACCCTATCGCCATGACCTGTCTTAAATTTTACGTCCCGTAATTGACATGTCTTTGTAATGGTTGCGGACTGGTCCTATTATCATATTAAAAATAGGCCAGTATGCATAGTTTTAAAGCAGAATCATTCAGAAATATGCCATTTATAGTGACACAAGCTGCCTAGAGAGGATGCATGTCTTGTCTTTTCCAGATATTTAGATCTTGAAGTGCATAGATCACCATTAAGTTTCACCCTTGATAAAAATAAAGAGCCACATTGAGAAAGAAAATGTTTTAGATACATTGAGGACAGTGATGTTTTAGTATCATTGGTATACTATTATAATTTTAGTACTTAAAAACTGTTGTTTGAGCTGTTGTTGGGGGATGGTTATAAATGTTTATTTTGTTTTCTGTTTATTTGCATCATCGTTATCAGCTGTAATTGCTAAACTGACTTTCATGAGTGTTTGCCAGTTTTTGTTTGCTGTCTGCACTATATTTAATCATGATACTGTGTAACCAATTTCTTTTAAGAAAAATGGCAAATAATAGATGGTTTAAGGTGTCACACACTTCATTCCAGCTAGCGTAAGACAATATCAGTTATATTTTTACCACATTTACTGTGTCTCAGGTGGTGGATAGTTGGTACAAGTCCAATGATGAAGAGTCCTTTGCCATGTCTCGTATGCTCATCAGAGAGGAGGGTCTTCTGTGCGGTATGTGACTCACAGCACATCTCTCACGTTTCATATGTGTCAAGTGTGCATCTAAACTGTGTGGTCTGTCAATCTTTGTAGGCGGTAGTTCAGGCACAGCCATGGCTGCTGCACTGCATGTAGCCAAAGAGCTGAAGGAAGGCCAGCGCTGTGTGGTGATTCTCCCTGACTCCATCCGCAACTACATGTAGGTTTCTGTGTTCCCAGCATTGTAGTGTGCTTAGCTGTGCTGTGAATGTGTGTTTTGTGTTGCCTGGTAGATTAAGCAACAACTATACTAATGTGATGTTTTAGACTTTAAACTAGACTGCTGGTATGTTTGGAATTGCATCCTTCCGTACTACCAGTGGAGAGAAGCTCTTTTGTATGTGTAGCTTCTCAAAATATTAAATGTAGATAAACTAAGCTAATAATACAACTTAAGTTGTATAAATGTAAATCTATTCAATACAAAAATGAAAATCATCCCTAACGCTGATGTTTAATAAGATTAAACGTATGGGTTACGTATGTAACCCTCGTTCCCTGAAGGAGAGAACGGAGACGTCACATCGATGACAGACGAAATTGGCGATCTCGCTAGAGAGCTACTTTGAGTGTAAACTAAATGAGCCAATGCACATTGGCATGCAATGACTGCATCCAACTGCCGCTGATCGCAGCGCGAGTATAAACAGGCAGCAGGTGCAACGCATACTCAGGTTTTCGTTGAGGAGCCGAGCCGGAAACCCAGTCACTCACCGGTGGTACAGCAGCCATGGCGATGGGACGTGACGTCTCTGTTCCCTCCTTCAGGGAACGAGGGTTACATGCGTAACTGAGACATTCCCTTTCAGTCGGTCACTCTCGACCAGTGCTGGACTGGTAATCTGGCATACCGGGCATTTTCCCGGTGGGCCGACGCACTTTTGGGCCGGTACAATTTTTTACTTTTTTTTTTTTCCCGCCAAGGACCAGCCCATCATCCAGGGACAGCTGCCCATAACAAAGCATTATATAGACGGAGTGATAAGGGATCTTGCTCTGCCTATGTAAATATCGCTTTACCTCTCTTCCACCTTCCTCTCGGTCTCTCAAAATGGACAGACCAAAGGTGGTGCTGAAAAGCTCAGGGAAAAGTAGCTTAAAAAATGAAGCGGACGCCGCAAAATGTGCCTCGTTGTCGGCAGTTGCGAAATGTACACAGCAGCGTTATCAAAAACAGGCTTGCTCTGCTGTGAGTGATGCGGGCCAAAGGGACAGACAGGAGGAGGAGAGGAGTTTAATCGGTAAGGAGATTGATAACAGGGGCTCGCATGAAGGGGAAACGGAGGAATCTAACCTGTACTATGCGTGTGCACCATGAGTGTAGAATATGTAAACTTTTTAATAAAACGAAAATTCGTCCCTTGCTCTTTTTTGGCCAAGTCAAGTGCGTTCACAGAGGTTTCCATGGGCCAATGCGAATAAATTTAAATATGACCTGACGTTTTATTCTTATCCAAAACAATGAGTTGGGATATTCACACACCATTTTTTATTTTGTGAGTTTGCAGTATGTTCAAATACTTGACTTTCAATATTAAAGATACTGTAATCACTGTGTTTAAAAAAACCATAATTTATTAACTTATTCTCCGCCTTCCTCTCTTATTCTTATAAAGGTTGCATTTTTTGAGGAGGTCTTTGCTGTCCCTTAGTGTGAAGATTACTGGCAACATTTTAAATTATAGTAGCCTATATGTTGTACACAGTTGCATACGTATTTTTATTAATTGGAAATCATACTTTGACCTTTTAGCTTGTTTTCTTTGGGGGATATATACCGTATATATGGTGTACCTATATGTGGTGGGCTGCCTGGATCAAAACATGCCAGGGCCGATTTTTTTTGTCCCAGTCCAGCCCTGCTCTCGACGTCACGTCGATGACAGACGAAATTGGGATCCCTACCAAAGCGCTGATGCTGACCCTTCCAGTGTTCTGTGCGAGCCTCCTGCGCCTCTTTGGGTATAGGCCAGGGCTTGTAGCAGGAAGGCCAGTCACTGTTGTCTTAGCACTACCCAGTCAGTGAGATAGGATAACACTGGAAAAACGTACCCGTTCTACACGGAACAGGAACGTTGCGGAAGCCCCATCCTTCCCGAAGGAGGTTTCGGAAGCACTTACACATACGGATGAATGTTTAGGTCCATATGGAAGATTTAGAGGTGATTATAACCCTCTTGAAGAATGGCAGAGAAGTCTGCCAGGGAAACATGGGCTTAAAGCTATACCGTAGAGAATACACATATGGGATCCACTTAGGTTGCTACATATGGCACCCAGCCCTCTACCAGTTCTCACGGATTCATCGAGTGAGGGCCTGTCGCCAAACGCTCCACCACATCTGGCTGCCGAGGGTGATGGAGGAGCTTGACAGGGTCTACAGTACGGACACTCTGGAGCAGTTTAGCAAGCCGACACTAAGCTGGGGCCTCTTGGTGCTTCTACCCGTTTGAGGTGAGAACACGGGAGGATACCGGCTCAACATGAAGGCTATAGAATCTATCTAGCGAACATGTTGGGGGTCGCCCAGCCCGCAGCTCTACAAATATCATATCTACATATATATCAAATATGCATATCTGTCAGTGAGGTGCCACGAGCCAGCGCCCAGGAGGATGCAACACTTCTGGTAGAGTGAGCTCGCAACCTGAGCGGGCAGGACACACCCTATGTCTGATAAGCCAGGGTGATGGCATCCACTATCCTCTGCGTGGAGATGGCATTCCCCTTCTGCCGGCCTCCGTAACAGACAAAGAGTTGTTCTGAGGTCCTGAAGCTTTGTGCCTGGTCCATGTACCATCTTAAGGCGCGGACGGCACGGAGCAAAGCCAGGGCTGGGTCTGCCTCCTCCAGGGGCAACGCTTGCAGGTTCACTATCTGATCCCTGAAGGGGGTAGTAGGAACCAGGGCACATAGCCGGGCTGGGGCCTCAGGGTTACCTGGTAGTCAGCCGGCCTAAACACTAGGCACGATTCCGTCGACTGAGAATGCATGCAGGTCCCTTACCCTCTTGATGGAGGCCAATGCAACCAGGAGCAAAGTTTTCATTGATAGAAACTTTAGATCGACTGACTGCAAAGGCTTAAATGGGCCCTGCTGTAGTGCTTTGAGCACCAGTGACAGGTCCCAAAGAGGGTATGGAGGGAGGAAGAGGAGGATTCAACCTTCTCACCCCCCTAAGGAACCTGATAACCAGGTCATGCTTCCCTACAGACTTCCCCTCCATGGGGTCGTGATAAGCAGAAATAGCAGCGACATAGACTTTAAGGGTGGAGGGAGACAGCCTTCACTCCAACCCTTGCTGCAGAAAGGAAAGCATGACTCTGATTGGGCATCTCTGGGGGTCTTCTCGGTGAGAAGAATACCACTCGACGAACAGGTTCCACTTCAAGGCGTAAGTGTGTCTCGTAGACTGTGCTTCCGCCGAAGTGATGGTGTCCGCTACCTCTTGGGGTAGGTCACCTAGAACCTCCACATCCCATCCAGGGACCAGACATGGAGATTCCAGAGGTCCAGACGCAGGTGCCACAGGGTGCGCCGTCTTTGAGTCAGTAGATCCTTCCTCAGAGGAATCTGCCAGGAAGGGGCTGTCGTGAGGAGCATCAGTTCTGGGAACCTGGTCCGGTTGGGTCAGTAGGGTGCAACGAGCAAGACCTGCTCCTCATCCTCCCTTACTTTGCACAGTGTCTGTGTGAGAAGGCTCACTGGGGGGAATCGCATATTTGTGCAGGCCCTGCGGCCAGCTGTGTGCCACTGTGTCCATGCTGAGTGTTCCCTCGGTCAGGGAGTATAACAGCTGGCAGTGGGACATTTCTGGAGAGGCAAACAGGTCTACCTGAGCCGCTCTGAAACGTCTCCAAATCAGCTGGACCATCTGGGGATGAAATCTCCATTCTCCCGGGAGCGCAGCTATTGACAGCTCGTCGGCTGCACGGTTGAGCAGACCCGGAATGTGAATGGCCAGAAGCGACCTCAGGAACTTCTGACTCCAAAGGAGGAGGTGGTGAGTGAGTTGTGACATGCGACGGGAGTGCAGATCACCTTGCCGGTTGATGTACGCAACGGTCGCAGTGTTGTCCGTACGGACTGCTTCGCCAAAAAGGCCGGTCTGGGACACTGAGGCGTTGAGGAACCGAACTTCGTTGGCGTCCCTCATGTCGGCCTGACACAGCCAGTGAGGTTTCCACTCAAGCCCTACCCTCTCGGCGGCTCGGGAAAGCATTGCCGTCATCTCTGGATCTGAGTCAGGCATTGCCACTGTCCCGGAGGGCGGCAGCGCAGCCAAATCTTCCTCTCCAGAGAGCTCCGGCTCACCCTCCGATGCAGCGATCGAAATCCGATCATCGGAAGGAGCACTGAAGGATACGGCTGGTATGCTCCTTGCAGAGGGCTCAGCGTGTTCCTTGGGCAGCTCAACTGGCCGCAGAGTGCTAGAGGAGCGATGGTCCCTCGAGGGTTGGTTCCCTGGAGTGTTTGCCATCACGGTTAGCCTCAGACCACCCGTGCTACTGCCTGAAGTAGTCCTTCCTGACTGCTGCCAGTACGAGAACTAGACCGAGGCAGAGGAAATGGAGCACCACCCCCTTTGAGGTAGCGGAGCCTGGTCCGCAACTCAGAGATGGTCATCTTCCCACAAGGAGAACATGACTCATCCACGAACACCACCTCAGCTTGCTTAATACCCAGACACATGAGGCAGCAATCGTGACCATCATCCGAGAGAGGCCCAGGATTTAAAAGCGATTTTAGAGAATAAAGATGGTAAAAGAACTAGAATTTATTGCAATGCTTTTGAACTATTTGCAAATATGTTTGTTAAAATAGGCAAGCATTCACTCTAAATCATATGCCTAATATGCCAAAAATCACTCCGTTAAGGTTTCTTGTCTCATCACATTTAAAGGTGACCTATTATGCCCCTTTTTACAAGATGTAAAATAAGTCTTTGATGTCCCCAGAGTGTGTATGTGAAGTTTTAGCTCAAAATACCTTACAGATCTTTTTTTATAGCTTGTTAAAATTGCCACTTTTAGGGTATGAGCCAAAACGTGCCGTTTTCGTCTTTCCCTTTAAATGCAAATGAGCTGGTGCTCCCGGAGCAGAGGGCGGAGCTTCAAGAGCTCAAGCTCCGGCAACACAGGTGCTAGCCTTTGCAAATAAACACTCCACTATTAATACAAGTCTGTTTGTTATCTTTACAGAAAACGCACTCGGTTTAAAAGTCAGTCATCTGATTGTACTGTGCATAAAAAAAATGCACTTTATATATTACACAGACGGGAGCAAGGTGCGATTTAACTCATGGTGCCATTGCACTTTATAAGTCCCACTTGTGATTATGAGCTCGACTAATTCCAGCGGTCGACTTCACATTGCTTTCATATGCAATTAACTCCCACACTCCTATTTACGATCATTCTGGTAGCACGTGAAGGCAGCATCAGTGAAAACAGACAGACAATGGTAGCTTTAGCGACATTAGCCTTACAGAGTGCCAAGAACCTCTTTCAGAAAGGCAATTAGGAAAACAAACGTGTGATACTTACTACTTCTGGAGGTGTAGCTGGATCACGAACAGTTGGCACTGCTCCATCCTTCAGGAGCAACTTTTGTGCAAAACCTGCTTTATACTGACCCTCATTTACCAAGCAGTCCTGTGTAAAATGATTCGCGCAGACATAAACGAATTTCTGTAGAGTTGAGGGAGCATTTTCTTCAAAAACAAAATTAATCCACCTTGTCTTCAGCGGCTCAGATTTCAGGAGTAAGGAGAGAGCTATGTGGATTCATACATCCAGCTACAGAACTCCTAAAACGCAATGGCGGACTGTGTACAACTGGCTGTGAACTCTCTCAGGGCGGTTCTATGTTAAAACGGCAGTGTCTGTCAACATTCGTGGGTGGGGCCTGTGGCTAATGTGACGATTAGCACCAATTCGGAAAACAGGTAGTTGGGAGACACTGCTTATGATTTATGGGGATTAAAAAAAAGGGAGTGGGTGGATTTTTATCATTATAGGGTGGTTGTGTACACACACTGCCAACACACATTTATGTCCAAACACCATGCAAAAGTGAATTTTGCATAATAGGTCCCCTTTAAACGAATGAATCGCATAAATTCAAAATGAAAATGGCAACATTTGACAGTAATCTAACTTTTCTATCATAAAACAGTTGACATATATTAAATGTTAAGCTAACTTATATCTTATGTTGAACTATAATAAAAATAAAGAAAAGTTAATTAATTTAATTAAACGTACTGTATAAGATTAAATTTAAAAAAGTTATGTTTTAGTTGATTACCCCAACACTACTTCCTCAATGAATGGAGTATGTGTACTGTACATGGTATGCAAATTCCATTTCCCATGACGCAGTGCACTGGAAATCCACTTGGTAATGTAAACGTAACACTGTGAGGTCATGTAACAGCAGTGTAGCATGCATTTCGAACATCTATCATTCCTTACTATATTAAATTATATTAAAATTGTATGTATTAAGCTTAGTTAATGTACCTTTAAAACAAATTCTTTGTTCTCCTCACCCTCAGGTCTAAATTTCTTAGTGACAAGTGGATGTGTGAAAAGGGCTTCCTAAATGAGGAGGATCTTGTTGTCAATAAGCCATGGTGAGTGTAAATACATACCCACATACGCACGTTTTCTTTGAAAGCACCCTTGTTATTTACACACCAATATCCTGTGCAAATATAGACACTCTATGCATCTGCTACTACACTAGTCTGCATTAGTTACAGTTCAGCTTCTAAATGTAGAGACGTGATCACTCTCCCGAATGACTCTGTCTGTGTGTCTTCTTACCGTGAGTTTTTATTCTCCTCCCGTCTCCTGCGCTCGTCTATCTGTAGGTGGTGGAATCTGACTCTACAGGAGCTCCGGCTCTCCGCCCCACTGACTGTGCTGCCTTTAGTGTCCATTAAGAAGACCATTCAGATCCTGAAAGAGAAGGCTTTTGACCAAGCCCCAGTGGTGGACGAGGCCGGGTAGGTCATTCATCCAGGAACCTGTTTAACTAGAGCTTGACCATTTTCTCAAGCCTCTGAAGATTTTAGTCCCATGTCCTCGAGGATATCATGTATCAGTGCTAATCGCTTAAATCGATGCAGTGTCACAATTACTGCATATTCAGTGCTACGTAAAAATAGGTTCAGTTGAAACATTATGGACTACATTGATAAGGATGTCAGACAATGAGAAGGAAAAGTCCTTTAAATATCTGTCTTTAAAAAAATTGTTCTTAATATATTGAAAAACATTTAATGATATGCTAGGTAATTTTTCCTTTACACTTTGAATACAAGTGAAATGTGTGTGTGTGTGTACCCGGTATTCCCTTCGTTATGGGGACCAAATGCCCCCGCAAGTATAGTAATACCAGTAAATTTTGACTTCGTAGGGACTTTTTTTTTTTTTTTTGTCCCTATGAGGAAACAAGCTTATAAATCATACAGAATTTGTTTCGAAAACATAAAAATGCAGAAAGTTTTATGTGAGGGGTAGAGTTATGGTAAAGGGACTAGAAACTAGAGTTTGTACAATATAAAAACCATTACGCTTATTGAATGTCCCCATAAAACATGGAAACCCAACGTTGTGTGTAATATAGGTATGGTTTAATTATTACAAGTAATTTTAATTCGGATACTGAAAAATTGCATCATAAAGGTCACCGTCAATAATATTTTGTTGTTGGTTTGTTTTGTTTTATTAGTTATTTTGAATTGGCTTAATACATTGGTTCTCAATCCTGGTCATTGGAGCACCGCAGCTCTTCACATCTCCCTGATTTGTGTCATCAGCATATTAGAAGAATCTCCAAGACTGTCTGATAAGAGAGATGTCCAAAATGCACAGGGCTCGGGACTTCCAGGACCGAGATTGAGACCTAAAAGATCTGAATAGAAAAAAAGACTGTCATGTCATTAACCTAAAAATACCTGAATGATAAAACCGATGGTAAGTGGAGTAAGGTGTGGCTCAGTCTGGTGTCTGGTTTTCTCCCTGTAGGCAGATTCTGGGCATGGTCACGTTGGGGAACATGCTCTCATCCGTTCTGGCTGGGAAGGTCAGGCCATCCGATCCCATAAACAAAGTTCTTTACAAACAGTTTAAACAGGTGGGCATGCAAACACAGACACACCCCCCTTTCTGTCATACTGTACATGCAACAGAAGGACCGAGAAAAAGTATGCACACGACATGTTCAAATAAACCTTGAGACATCATAATCCAGTGCATGTTGTTGTGGTCCGTAACAAAGACTCCTGCTGTTTTGATTTCTGAGGCTTGGATGGAAAAGCAAATAATAGCTGAATAATAACATGTTAATTGTACACGTCAAAGACAATATCAGTACACACAGTGCTACTTAAGCTGCACTGACAGATGTAATGTGATCGCTCAATAGTCAGCTTGTTTCTCTGCTTGTAGGTGCGCCTAACTGATAACCTGGGCAAACTCTCACGTATCCTTGAGACGGACCATTTCGCCCTTGTTGTGCATGAACAGATTCAGTGTAAGTCATTTGTCCCTCCGTTACACCTTTTCCTAATCAATCAGCTGTTCTCCATTTTCTTATTTTTAGTTCTATACACTATATACATAAATGATTCAGAAGTTTGGGGTTAGTAACCCATAGTAGTCCATTTGAAATAAATGCTGTTCTTTCGAACTTTATATTCACTTGGTAGAAGCTTTCAAAATAGAAAGATGCCAACATGCCCTCAAACAAAATTTGACCCAGACTACAACACGCACTTAAAAGGTGGGACCTACAGCAAAACTATTGGTGTAAGGAATATAAAGTATTCTCAAAGCCTCTACTTCATGTGACCGTATTGTACAAAGTGTACAAAAGTCTTACCAAGTCTCTGCAGCACTATTCAGGAACAACAGTCTTATTCATGGAGCTAAATGCAATACGGCACCAATTCCTGATATAGGACACGTGTTTTCCTGAACTCCGGATCACTGCTCCCCTTCCGTTGCCATTTGTGGCAAAGAAATCGCCTACATTGTGTTCCTGTTCAAGGACATTACACTTGCTGCTGTGGCAAACTCTGCCAAGTGCTAGAATAACACTACTGTGAGCTTTGCTTTTAACAATTAACAAACTTTACATAAGAATACAAGGCTGTTTTGATAAAATTATTTTTGCACTTTTTGGCATCTGTAACACCAGTTATTTAGAACCCAGCAGTGCTATTGTAGCATCGTTAATATACCATTATAGTTTTTGTTGTGCATTTTTGTTATTTTTTTTAATTAGTATTTTTTAATGTCTATGTAGTTTTTATATAGTTTGTTATTTTTAGTTCTTCAACTTAAAACAAAAAAATAAAACAGGGATTCTAAAGCGCTTAAAAAGGTCTTAAATCAGAGTGGTCTTAAATTCATAGTTGTGGCATTAAATGGTGCATGCACTGCAAAGAAATTAAGATTTTCCAGTATATTTGTTTACCAATACAAATATCTAAACATCCTTAAATCAATATAAATTTACTTGAGATGCAACATAAAGAAATTAAGTCTTGAAACTGAGCAAAATTAAGTGAGTTTATGATTAAAATAAGAATAAATATCTGTCAATGGGGTATGAAAATAACTTTTCCATTTAAATGAAGCTGCTTTTTTATTGCCAGATTTTTGACCGATATTTGCTCTTGTTTTAATCATAAACTCACTTCATTTTGATAAATTTCACAGGAAACAAAACTTCTCATCTCATGTAATTTTGCTTCCCAAGTGAATGTATCTAGATCTAAGAATCTTTAGGCATTTGCACTGAAAAACAAGACAAAAATACAGATACAAGTCACATTCTTTCTTTTTTTTATTATTTTAAACAGTGTGATCAGAAAGTACAGTAAAACTTATTTCCATATTTCAGTGTTTGGGAGCAGAGTTGTTCAAACTTTAAGCAATTTTTTGTAAAATTAATTAAAAAGTTGCTAACACAGTTTATTGTGTGCTCCCTAAAAATGTACTTTTAGAGAACGTATTCCCTTTAAATTATTACATTTTCTTTACTCTGTCTTTAAAAAAAAAAAAGAAGAAGTACCTTCATAACACCTGTAGAAACCTTAGGAATATATCAAATCTCACTATTACTATTCACTGTTACTATTATTAGTTTTAGTCAACCCTGGACCTCAGTCAGATGAAGTACAGTAAATGCAGGCCATGGTGTCATTGCAGTGGATGGTGTCCGCAGTCTGAATTGCAGTTCCTGTCTTACAGACATGAGCGATGGATCCCCAAAGATGAGGCAGATGGTGTTTGGGGTGGTGACAGCCATTGACCTGCTGAACTACGTGGCCACTCGTGAGAGGAGGGAACGCTCGCTGTCCGAGTGCACGCTGTCAGAAGAGCAGTGAACAACCAAGAGTGTGAAATCCCCATGCTGGAGTGTCCTTTTCTTTTTTCACAATTTTTAAGTTTATTTCTCTGCAAGTGGTATGCTCCATGTTAAAGAAGTTAGAATTATGCTTTTATAAGAGCCAGTCAATATAGATTTACATGTAAAAAAAAATGGTTTCTGTGCATGAAGCTGGGGTCTCTGGCTCAGAATGTCTTTACTGTATGTCATTTGATTAGATTTTTCTTGAATCTTATTGCTGTTATAAGTACTAGTTACAAATAAAGGCTTTATTTCCGGAAGGAATACTAGTTGAAATGATTGTCACTACATCTGTCTTTCAGTTTAATAGATTGTAACAGAACATTTTATTCAGGCTGATGTGAATTACAGGTTGTCATCAGTTTGCCCCAAACAATAGTAGTGAAAATGTTTAAAAGTTGTCATATATATATATATATATATATATACATTATATATTTAGTTCTTACATTTTGAATAGTTTAACTAAAGAAATTAGGCTTGCATTAACAAGGAATAATGTGAAAGGCATAAAATGCCACAAATCAGTTTAATCTTTACTAAAATTAAATTACATGAATGAACACAAAATAATGAATACAGCAAGGTGCAGCAGCACAATGACTGGTTGAAAAATAAAGTTACTTTTACATCTCAGATTTTATTTTTCAACTGAGTTATGTGTCTGCTACACATTTGAGTTGCATTTGTGGAAAGTCGTGGAATTATTAATTTAAGATGCATGTTGAAAACTAGTCAAGGGGCACTAATTGGTCAAATTATTTATTTATTTTAATAAAACCAGGGCACTATTTTAACGTTCAGTCATTTGAACATATTTAAAGAAATCAACATGTTTCATAATAGGCACTGATATATTAACAACACATACACTTTTATTATGTAAAGATACTACAAACGCCTCCATACAGCCTCTGTTAACTTTTAAAATGTTAAACTTTTGTTAAATTTAAACCTGATCGATAGCGCCGCCTGCTGGGGTTATGAAGATTTACACGTAATATCTAGATGTAAATAATGCGGTCATTGCCAGTGATTTTTTATCAGTGGAATATTTAGTGGTATTAAAATGTATGAAATTATAAATATGCTGTTACGCAGCATTGCATCTTCAAGAGCCTTGTCATATTAGCAGCCCAATAAATCAGCATGCGCACAGAAAAGTACCGAGGTTTATTAAAAGCAGTAGTAGCAGTATTTTACACTTTTTGCCCGTATTTAGCTCACAAATAAAAATGTATCCTAATTTCTCTTTATGGATCTCTGACCTCCTTCTTAGTAACCAAATTTCTCATTGACCTGTCAAAATGAACTGCAAAGCTTCTAATGTGCTCACATATTAGTCTGCGTGAACAAGAAAGCATGTGTAAGCTTAACATGAGACTTGGCAGAGAAATGTGCTCTGCATGAACTTGCACAGGTGTGCATGAGTGCATGGAGGTTCTTTTGGAAACTTTTCATCCTCCATTCCATTCCCAACCCCTCCCCCATAATGAAACGATGGATCATCCCTTACCCAGTCTTTCTGCACTTGGTTTTTCTTAACCAAAGTAACAAACAAAGTTTGATGAATTATAACACTTTCACACCATTACATTGAGTTATTGTTGCAGGCGATTTGGATCAGATTGTTTCATATATTATACTTTTATTTAGCAAGGATGTAATACATTGATCAAAAATGACTAAATTAATTAAGATTTCATTTAAAATATAATATTTCACCATATTAGCCTACTGTTTTTACAGTTTTTTTTTTAATCAAATAAATGCAGCCTTGGTGAGCAGAAGAGACTTATTTAAAAAAAAAAACATTAAAAAAATCTTACCAACATTTGCAAGTTAGCATATAGTGTATATTAATACCTTATGTATAGCCTACATAAAATATAATGATAAAATATTACAAAGAAATTATTATTAAATCATATTTATTATTATTATTATTAAATTATCTATATGCTGAATAAATCAAATCACATGGACATTACATTAAGCATTACCCTCATAGATGATTAGTTTTTGTTCAGGCTTCCATTACCGAACAGCATTTCATTGCAATTTTATAATCGCTTAAAGGGGTCATATGATGTTGCTAAAAATAACATTATTTGGTGTAATGAAATGTGTTTATGCGGTTTAAGGTAAAAAAAACACATTATTTTCCACATACTGTACATTATTGTTTCTCCTCTATGCCCCGCCTTTCTGAAAACAGATCTTCTTTATGCACCAAGAGCTTGTAACACTTCAAAGAGAAAGGAAAAATTGAAATCGCATCATATGACCCCTTTAATTTCACTGCCACAGTGTTGGTAAGAGCCCTAATACAGTGTCTCCTCTCAGCCCACAATCACACCGCAGCGCAGCTTAATAAGGCAGAAAGACCCCGACAGCTCTGGCAGGAGACATGCCTGGAAAGCTGTGAGGTGAATTAAGTCCTGCTCCAACAAAAACATTACAAGCGCTCCTGTCTGTTTAACAGCATCATTTCCACTCATTACATGTGCTGTGCAGATCTCCTCTCACTCACACAGTCCTGTATCTCCTGTGAGTGACTCACGAGGGCTTCTGCGTCATTCTCCGTCACCGCCAGCAAGAGGAAATTCATTAGAGAAACATTCATATTGAGATTATTATCCAGAGCCACACAGAACCAAGATAACACTTTCCTTTCTCGAATGACTGCTTTTCAGCCTTCTGTGAAGTGAAACGCTCCAGTCAGGCTGCACTTTCTGTTGATTACATGGTTACTCCAGTAGGTGGCGACAAACAACTATCGTTATTTGCATTTCATTATGTTAGGTCCCAAATATGTTTCATTACGCTAGCTCTCTCAGTATGTTAAAATGTGTGTGAGAGACCTCTCATGTCTGCGTGCACAAAAGAGAATGTAAATCTGCATGTTCATTTTTAATTTCTCTCGAACAACGTCAAAAGCGAGTACAGCAGTTGATTAGAGCGGCATGGTTTCAAGTGCGTTGCGGTCGATTGATTCTTCAGTGGCTTTTTTGGTAATCGTTGGTGGAGAAATGTGTGTGTGTTCAAAAGTCTGAATCAGTTGGTGTTCAGCCCTCTTTAAGTGCTGGACAACCTCCAAGAGCACGACAAAACTTTATTGCAAAAACGTCCCTGCCAACATCCTTCAATCTATTGGTTTCTGTTCTTCTCATTTCCAATGATGACGGCTGTGACACTCAGTTCACTTATGGTCAGAGAGAACAAGTGAAATGCACATTAACATTTGTAGTCTATTAAGACAAAAAGGCGAGTCAAATAATGACACTCCCCAGCTCTTAATGCACTGTGTTGCATCCTGAGGATCAGTAAATGTTTTCACCTTTTGTAATATATGTATGAGTCCCTCAGTTGTCCTCAGTGTGAAAATATGGATCTACATCCTTCAATCTATTGGTTTCTGTTCTTCTCATTTCCAATGATGACAGCTGTGACACTCAGTTCACATATGGTCAGAGAGAACAAGTGAAATGCACATTAACATTTGTAGTCTATTAAGACAAAAAGGCAAGTCAAACAATGACACTCCCCAGCTCTTAATGCATTGTGTTGCATCCTGAGGATCAGTAAATGTTTTCACCTTTTGTAATATATGTATGAGTCCCTCAGTTGTCCTCTGTGAAAATATGGATCTCAAAATCATACAGTCACTTTTGGAAAGGGTTAAAATATGCAGAAGTTGCTGGAAATCAAAGAATGTGCAGGAGCTGGGGGATTTTTCTGAAGGACAGCAGGCAGTTTAACTGTTCAGGACAAACAAGGGAATCATGAACAACTACAAAATATAAAAACAGTCGTGGATCATCCAGGAAATGACATATTATTACGTTTCAAGGCTATGTAAACTTTTGAACGGGGTCATTTTTAAAAATTCAGTTATTTTGTCTTGTGGAGTATGTAAACATCTGTTATGTGAAATAGCTTATTCAGGACAGTACTAAATAAAAAATAACATGCAATTTTCATGATCCCTCTTTTGTTTCAATTATTAACATTTTGCACATTCTGCAAGGGGTATGTAAACTTATGCGCACAAATGTATATATATATATAGAGAGAGAGAGAGTGCGATAATTTTATGTATTATCATTTTGGACACAATTACTCTGTTATTGCTAATTTACACATTTAAGAATAATTAATTAATTGTAAATTGTAATTGTAATTGTAAAGTCATTAAAACTATGGAAATTATTTAGTGACCAGAAAATTGTACACAAATCAAAACTCCTTCATTTGAGAGATCTTACTCTGGACATTAATTCAGCCAACTTCATGAAGTGCAAGATGTTTTTAAACATTACTGAATGAAACATGCTGGACAGACACTTGCTGGTTTTCTTTCAATATGCAGGCCAACTAATGTCAGTTTTCATTTCCTTTTTTTTAGCTTTAATTTTGTAAAGGAAAAATCCTAATGCCTAGACACAATTTGACAGCAGTTCCAACCTTTTGTCCTTGAAAATACCTGACCCCCCAGTTATTTATAATGTCAATTTGATATTAAATACAAGCTATAGATGTAGGCCTACTTAAACATAAAGCTTAACCCTTTAATAAAAAGTAAATTAAAATAGAAATGTTGATTCATTATAATTCAGTGGCACTTTATTGTTTTTATTTAATAATATTTAAATATTTTATTTTGAACTATTTTATTCATGATAAATTAACATTAACTGCCTTTTTAATTTTGTAGGATTTTGGTAATATTTTATCTTTTATAATTCTTGTGGTCTGTTTATTATGTTGGATTTTAATAGCCTTGTTTTGAGAATACAACCTCCTACCCAAAACATAATAGCTGGGGCCACTTTATTTATTAGACCTTTTATTTATTTATTTATTTATATGTGATATCTGTCAACCCTTCACTGGCACTTTAAATAAATCACACACAACTACTTTAAGCACTGGACACTGTTTCTTTCAGAAGTTTTGACAGATCTGTCCATTCCAAAGATGTTCAGACAAGAAGCATATTGGTCCTGTCAAACCTGTGGAGACTGGAGAGGAACAAGTTTGTCCGTCTGCCCCTAAATACACACGCACATGTTCACAAACACGCAAGTCCAATACGCAAACATACCTACATTTATTGGCAGAGAAACACAGATGC